TTGTTATGCCTCCAGCCCACTGTTTAGGTCCGAAGTGGAGAACCACGTGGTTTGGGTGAGTTTGTTCCAGGTATCATTGGAGCCCTCATTTGTGGAATTCAGTTTGCTGTAGTCCACACAGAAGCAGAGCACCTTGTTCTTCCAGATTAGCACAACATGCAATAACCAAGGGCTGTCTGACAACTTAATTACAACACAGTGTTTCATGTCCTGAGCATCTTATCCATCTCTGCCTTCTAGGCTGTGGGGAGCCTCTTTGGGGGGGCCAGATCAGTTGGGCACTGCCATTGTTGATAACAGTGGTAAACTCTGTTGGTCTGCCCCTAGTCCTCAACATTCCTTATGAAGATGTCCTCAATCTTGGTGATTAGGTTCTCCAGTTCTTGGAATTCTTTGTGGTACAGACTCATTTTAATGTTGGCAGCTATCCATTGCAACTTCTTGCAAAGCCCCAAGGTTTCCTGAATTTGGGGTTTCATGTTGTCAATCGGTGCCACTCACAAGTGGTTCACAGTGGCTCAGGAGGGGTGCCTCCAGCTAGCACCTGATCGTGAAGGGTCACGTTCAAGACTGTTAGGTGCTTTCTGCTGAACTCAGCTGTGAAATTACTCCTGTATGAGGGATTTTCATTCTAGGTTCTCTCAGGCCACTTGCTGTGTACAGGGGGCTGTGCAGCATTGCAGTCACCAATCTCTTGTACTTTACAGGTGTCACATGGTTGCTGGTCAGCATAAGGTAGGCTATGCCTTGGGCAAGATAACGGTACCTCTTCTTGTTACAGCCATAGTGCATGGCCTCTCTGATCTATGAATGCATCATTGGTATGCAGGACATTTCTCACCAAGATTAACTTGTCTGTGATTTCTGTGATGAATACACAGATCCATAGAGAGGTGCTCTAGTGAGCTCTACTAATGCCTCCTTTAGGCCAGGGGTGCTCTCCCTGGATGCTGTCTGCAATACCTAAGATTGGTTTTGTCTCCTATATAAACATTCTATGCTGCTGGGCATGATGTTGGCCATGGACACCTCAGTATTGATAGTCACATGGCATGGTTTGTTCTTCATCCATCCTTCATTAATGAGGCTGTCATCCGTTCCTCCAGAAGTGAGGGAATGAGATGATGACATTAATGGTCCTCTTCTTGCGCTGTCTGTTGCGTGTCTGCTGAATCTTCGTCCTCACTGGGTCAGATACTACCAGCACATAGGTCACTCATTCTGGCTGTATTTTGATGGTGGAAGTGGCCTTACTCCCCCAGTTTCTCTTGTCCTTACTTCTTGCAGCTTTACTTCTAATCTGGCTGCTGCCTTTGCAGCTTCCACCATCAGAGCCAGGCTGAAGGCTCTGTTAAGTGCCCTCTCACTGCACATGTGGAGATCCTGCTTCGCCTCCCAGCCCTATACTACAGGGACAGATGACAGATGCATAGGCTTCAGCATTCTGGTTATATGAGGGATATCGGAAAGTAAAGATACAAGTCCAGTAAAAATGCAAAGGAATTTTTCTTTCAAAAATGGCAGTGCTGCTGTGTGAGATAGGAACCATATGACAGGGCAGAGTTCACTGGCCACAGTCACAGCACCGTTGTGCTCACTGTGTGTGTTTAAAATTGCCATGTCGGTTCAAAATCCTGCCAAGTGTGAGGTTCATGTAGTAATTCGATTTCTTCAAGTGAAAGGAGAAATTGCTGCTGAAATTCATCACCAACTTGTTTCTGTTTACAGTGAATGTTATGAACAGGCAAAACATGGCAAAATGGTGTCATGAATTTGAAGCAGGAAGAAATGATGTATGGCTTACTGCATCATAATGCCGGTCCGAACACTGCATGCGCCACCACACAGCCCAGACCTTGAACCAAGCCACTATCACTTGTTTTCTAAATTGAAGGAAAGTCTGGCTGGAAAGACTTTGTCAGACGATGATGAGGTTCAAGACACGATGACATGGCTAAGAAAGCAGGCAGGAGATTTCTACAACGCTGGAATAAAAAAATCTCGTTCTCAGGCTCCCCAAGTGCTTTGCGATGCATGGCAACTATGTTGAAAAGTAAATAAAGGTGTGTTGTAAAAGTGCTACAAGTAAATCCAGAAAATAAATGCTTTACACATATTTTCTGGGCTTTGTATCTTTACTTTCCAAATAACCTTCATAGTTCTCCAGTAATCCATCAAGAACCCAATAGGGCATCTGCTCGATGGCTGCAGTGAATTGTTGCAGGTTCTCAGGTGAGTCCTGGCCTTCAGGACCAGAATGCCTGCCCCAGAATGATGGCAAGTGGGTGCGTGACCTTCCCTCAGCCTTTTCATTTGTTATGCTCCATTACAATCTTGAGCTGACAGAACATAGTCCATGCTAAGACCAGTAGAACCTTGGAGCCTTTGTTCTCTCGGTGCTGGTTAGCGTGTTCTCATGACTGCAGTGCCCTGCTTGGGCTTTTGTCTTCCTCCATTTGCATTTTGAACATCATTCTGTTCTTAACACTAGATATATAGAGTGTATTTATTATCTGGTGCTTTAAAATGTATGTAACTTCTTTGTTATTGAATGCAATTGTATGAAACTTTCACAGATAATTCTACACATGTGGGAGATTTGTTTGTTAGACTACAACAGGTTCCATTTGGTGTCCCCAGAGATGATGAACTTCATGCAAACAACAAAATTATTCAGGACCTTGGTTAGAGTTTCCGTAGAAACGTCTGCAGTCTCTAATGAGATGGCAGTTTTCAGTTTGGAATTGTATGTGAATTTTTCTGAAACCTGTTGTCCTTTAAGTATTGCCACACAAAATACTTGCAAGTTCACTGAGGTTAGTGGTCACTAAAATCCTTCTTCAAATAATATAGAACACTGGTTCAGCAGGACACTCTCCTCAAAACTGTCATAAAGAAAGTGAAGTATGACATTGCTGGCATGAAGTCTGATACCATCCTGTTGAAATGAGGCTGAATTCATTGGAATGCCCATTAAGAAAGGACAAATTCATCATTCAACAGGCTGAGATAAACATCACAAGTGATGTAGCATTGAACATAGGATTCTACTGTAACTTTCTCTAAATGTAGTGGGTTGACAGTGGTAAGCCTTGGTTTCTTTGAGACACAAAACCGGATATTTTGCTTGTTAATGTACCTTCCCATGTTCTTCATGCTGTTTAATAATCCAGTAGTGTCTCTTGATGGTACAAAATGAACAGAAAACTCAATGGTAGTATCTCTTTGCAGCAACAAACAAACGAAAACTCCATAGCCTGTAGTCCGCAAGCAAACTATACCAACTGAGCGACCACCGCTTGTCAGCGAAGTTAGAGTGTCACGTGGTCAGCGCAACAGCCATTAATATCTGTTTTCTAGACTGGAACCGCTACTTTTCCATTCAAGTAGCTCCTCAGTTATCCTCATGAGGCTGAGTGGACTCTGTTCCAGACCCACTCCTCTCAGAAAATCTGGTAGTTCCTGGAATCGAACTCAGGACCTCTGTATCTGTAGCCAGAAACTTTGAGCACCAGACCACAGAGGTGGTCTCTTCACAGCACCACAACCACAAAAAGAATAAAAGATTTTGATAACAAACACTTTGTGATCTGTCATATAAAATGTCATCTTGTTTCTAAGGTCAGCCTTACCAGTAGCAACATGCAAATATCCCAAGTGTGTAGAATGATCTATGAAAGTTTCATACCCTTGCATTCAGTAGAAAAGAAATTGTACAAATTCTAAAGTGTAAGATGATAAAACATCTTATACATTAAAGTGATTCTTACAAGATCATAGAGTATGTAAATTTAGTTCGGTGTAGCAACTGCTTTAATAGTGTGAAATAAGAGTGATATGAAGAAAGTCGTCTTCTGGGTTTTGGCGCCGTGTATTATTCGTTTTGGCCGACATTTCGGAGGAACGTATTGCCTCCATCTTCAGAGCAGGTGAATGGCTTGTGAATGCAGAGAGCAGTAGCTACATTCCTCCGAAACGTCGGCCAAAACAAATAATACATGGTGCCAAAACCCAGAAGACGACTTTCTTCATAGTCATCGCCGTGAAAACCTCAAAACTTACAAAGAGTGATATGGTTTCATCTTTTGAAAGAAGCTTTGACCGCTGATGTCATAACAGGTGGCAACTTTTATAATGTCAAAGCACATTATGTTTGTGAGAAATTAACAGATGTAGCATACAGTGTTCTCTCTTCCTAGTAATGTATTACAGATGCACTTATTTCTATACAGGGTTCTTCTTTGTGACGCAGTGTATGACAACGTTAGTTACAAGTATAAATGTGCTAAAGATGAGTGAAGTTTGGTATGAGTATTAAATTGTGTAGCCTGTAAAGGAAGGTCCATAGGGCTTTCATAGAGGATACCTCTTTGAACAGAGAGGACATTTCTTCCTTAAGGTTGCCTTCACAAAATATGATGATGTACATTGGTTTATGGAGAAGCTGATCTTAGTGCAGTACAAAGTTGGCATTTTTTATGTGCCATGTAGTGTGAGAAGGAACTATTCCATTCTTCTTCATCAGTTAGCTATGTTAAACAAAAACTTTTTTAACTGAAATTTTTCCGTTACTTTTGCTTGTTTTGCAGACTTTTCAGTTCCTTTTTCAACTGACAGTTGTTTCCGTTTTTCAGACCGATAGTTTTATGAGTCAAGTGATATTTGTAATCTTTTTTTTCTTCATCTCTATGTTTTTGGTAAAGGAACCTGTTCTGTCTGCAGTTGGTCGCTCGAATGCCATTCCAAACCTTCCATTTTGTGGAAATTTGTATTTATTTACTGGTTTCATAATTTTATTGTTCTCTGTATGTTCTATATCTGTGTACTATTGCTATCTCTGTTCTTCCACTATTTCATTTAAATTTTTCACGTTTAGTTCAGTTTTATTCAAAATAATCCCCAGAATTTCATGTTTTATATTGTTTGTGTCATAAGTTTAATGTTGTAAATATACATTGTTTCATTCTCTTTGTTGAATGCTCTTGCTCTTTTGATATCAGGCACGTACAGTTACGGAATGCACGAATGCTTACAACCCGAGGATTACGTGTCCTGAAGGGACACAAGATCTCAAACCTAGAGGCTACAGGAATGAAGGTGACTGTGAATGACCTAATTGGTTGCCTTGGAGAGTGGACTTTGCAAAATCTGCGTTCCCTTAATGTAGCTCGTAGTACTTTTATGGATGGATCCAGGTAATGAATTTATGATGTACTATGATGTCTTTGTATAAATTGTTTGTGTTGCATTGTTCTTCATTTGTGTTACGCCGTGGTGACAGGGGGCGTGTAGGTATCCCTCCACTGCCACCACATATTATGCCTTAAGGGGGGGGGTTGATGAAAATAATACTAAATTGCTCTCAGTTAGGATTCTCCTGGCTCTGGACCTTCTTCGTTGCTTACAGCTGCCACTATATATTACATCTTAAGAGGGTTGTTGATGAAAATACTAAGGGCCAGTAGCGCGGTAGTCGAGCGTTCTTTGTTGGCTGGCCCCTCCATCACTGTCACCACTTCGTAATGGCGTAGAGCAGGCGTGTCGGGTCCGACCCGCCTCTACCCATCGACTGTCACACCATATATTACACACCTGCAACAGGGGTGAATTGGATATCGCCCCGCTGTTACCAATCATTATGTCTTAGTGACGGGGGTGGGTTACAACACACTAAATCACTTCGTCTGTCATTTCTCTTTGGCTAGTCCCTTCACTACGTTAGTCAACCCTTTGTTGACTCGGCCCACCGCCGTTGTCATAAGTAATACTTTGATGGCAGGGGTGAGTAAAACACAGTTCCTAATTCTCTCTGTCAGTCACCTCTCGTTGGCCGATCACCACCTCTGCCACCCTTTGTTATGCCTGAAGCAGCTAATGAACTGATACTCAATTACTCTTCCCTTGTTCCATCAGGAACGCATCCCCTTGTCTCTACTACTAGTCCCTCACCTTTAACTGTCATTGCATCCGGCTGCTGTTGGCTGCCTGGGCTCAGTTCTGCCTTTCGTAGGGAGTAGGAAAAGGGTGGAGTTTGTGAGGGTGAATCATACTCTGAGTACATCCTACCTTAATTACACTGTCTGTTTACACTGTTATATACAATACAGAAATGCCGACGTGCTGTCGGTTTACACATGGTATCATTTCATTAATAGATATGAATTTTGTCCTAATCTCTCGCCTGGAGCAGATGGCTTGAGACTGTCAATTCCTTCATTACTATTACTTGATAACCATCTCTGTCCTACCCTAGGTCACTGATCTATTATCACTTTAATTTATATTCTATTTACAATATTAACAATGCCGACTCTCAGTCGGAACTACATAGTGTCTTTACGTTACTACGCTATGAATCTCCCATTCTGGGGTGTAGGTCTTGAGTCTGTCTGTCTGTCTCTCTCTCTCTACTGTTTTGACTCGTGAGGATATGCAAGTATTCATTGTTCGACATGAACCTTTTTCCTGTCTCCATTTCCTACTACTCATTACACGATTCTACACTGTTCTATCATAATACTTCACCCTTAAGATATTTTACCCCTAAAGTTATGCCTACTAAAAGCCTACGTATATTTATAACAAAAATCAGTAGTCACAACTATGAACAACAAATATGCATGCTCCGAATACTACTAGTACTCATAACACACTATCTGACGTCTACCATATTTACTACACTAGCAACCTTGCCTACTACTTGTTACCACATTTTTCGTATTCTACCCTAAAAACTCGCTGGGCGCACTGGAGATTGCTTTTCACATTTAACAAACAACCATAAAGTTTAACAGCATGGCTTGTATGAGCAAACATGACTTACTTGAGATAGAGATGCAGCCACACCACCACTTGTAGTACCCATGTCGGACAGAGCCTCCAGCTAACAGCTGGATATTACGTTTTAGATCGCTCCCTGAGTGAGTTTTTCCTCATTTTTATATTATTAAAATCGCTGACGCAACAGCTAACAGAGAGGGAGGTTAACTCCTCCCTTCGTCCTCAATTGCTAAAGCGGTAATTTCTAATTGGCTATATCTGACTCGTCGCGGGCAATTGCGGCACCTCCCTCTTTGCATTTTGTAATTTCGTGGTCTCCAGTTGTTTCCAAACGCCACTTACAAAGTGGCGCGATTGTGCGTTTCTGCTGACTAAGATGTTTGTTGACCGTGTTCCACAGCCTATGTGTGGCCATCACTGCTCTAATTACTGTGAAACGCTCTCGTAATATTTAGGCAATGCTTTTGATTTCTAGTCTCAAAATTTGCGGCATAACAATTTGTTATACAGTAAAAGTTTATTTGGCATGCTTGGGGAATAGGATGTGCTGTTATGTTGCAGACAGAATAATGACTTACAATAGGTAGTTTTAATGTGGGCTATAATGAAAAAATACAAATAAAATATACTTACAAAACATTGCCAACAATCAAATTTACAGCACAGTGTTTACTGACCTATGCACTAGCAGCTGCTGTTGCCTTCGAAATACCATCCTTGTGGAGCTGTGCACTTCATGAGATGATGGTATCACTGCCAGAAACAGTCTTGAAAATTGTTTTATGGAATACCTCGCAGTAACGTCACGTTGCGTTGGATGTCAGGAATATCAGCAAATCTTTCTCTTTTGAGGGAATTTTTTAATTTTAGAAAGAGGCAAAAATTGCAGGGTACCAACTCAGGTGAATAAGGTGAATGGTCCATTTTTCTAATGGATTTCTTAGCCAAGAACTCGCTGACTCATAATGCAGTTGTAGTCCTAGGCACTGTTGCCTTCTACGAATCACAGGGCTTTGGTGGAGATATTCTAACTCCTCCACATGGTAATCCATTCTGTGTCTCTGGGAGTTTATTTGTTAGGTTTTCCTTCCCCTTCAGTTTTCATACAGAATCATTAACCATACCTGTTTTTCTATTGTGTAAATTGTGTAGTTTCATCTGTCAGATTTATATCACTTGCCTTCTTATGTGCAGTTTATTGAATGTATAGCTGAAGTTGGGAAAATGAAATGTACAGGTACTGTGTTGTGGTAGCGCTGTCTAAACTGCGGAATCTGCAGAGTCTAAATGTGAGCTGTACAGAATTCAACAGGCATGGACTGGAGATTGTGGCTGAGGATCTTCCACAACTAGAGAGTTTGGATATTTCATGTACCAGGGTAGATGATATAAGTCCACTACGCAAGTGTCGTGACCGTCTCAAGTCTCTCACCATGTACAACCTTAAAGTAAGCATTCTTTACATTAATTAGGGACTGAATCAGTATTTTTATAACAGTATTGAGATCTCGTATCCATTGCACTACTGGACTGTAGGAAGTAGGATGATGCTGATGGCTGACATTGTTTTGTGTATTTATTAACTGAATATCCTAGAATGTACAGTCTGAAATTAAATTTGCAGAATAACCAAAAGTAACGTTTGATGCTGAATGTTCAAAACCAAGTAAATACAACTGTATATGTATACCAGCCAAAAAATTTAGTATAGCTATATGCTCTCTCTGTTTGGTCCACTTTTTAAATGCATATACATATATTTAATACAAATTATTATCCTAAAATTCTGCTCTGTTATTGGTACGAGTACATAAGATAATTAATCAACACTCTGTCACCCAAACTTATGCATGAAACTGCTGTAACATATTGGAAAGGAACTGAATAATGGGTGTGGGACATTTTTTTCATTTCTGTGATGTTATCATATACAGATTCCATGGTTATCTTGGTTGATACAATCTCCCTTATGTAAGAAAACATGAACATGCAGTAACATTTTACTTAGTTTTCACAAAGAGATCTTATGCCTTGTTTGTCATGTCTTTATCTCATTTAGAATCTTATGTATCAGTTTCAGCCTGGTTTATCTGGCAGTTTCATAACTTTAGTTCCTACAGGAAAATGCTGAAATGATACATCAAAGAACCAACCATTATTATGTATTTGTTAGCACTCCAGCTTTACATCTGGTTCATAACTTGTCTGGGAGAACCATTCATTGGTTTTTCTCAATCCCTCTAGGGAAGTCCTTACATAATTTCTTGAAGTTGGTCATAACTGTTAACCCTCATTATCTTTCTTGACAGTGACAACAGTCTTGTCATATATTATTCTGATATACAGGGTGTCCCAGGAGGGATGTGCCAAACTTCGGGAGGGTGTTCCTTATGTTAAAATATGCCAATATAACCCAAAACCCCTATGTCCAGAGTTGAATGGTTACGGAGATAATGGCCCGAGAAAAGTGTGGTCTTCTGGCGAGTCCACGCACTGTACCTGTCAGCTGGCATGTCTTATCTACGTTTGTCCTTGAGTGTGGTGATGGCAGCTCACGTTAGCCCCATACACTTGCATACCAGAACGCACATTCAGCAATGTTACGTCAGCACTTGCCATTCATGTGTCATGTATAGTGCTTGGAACTCTTAACGACAACTTTGACATGGCGTGCGAGTTTTTGTAGTTCAATTTAATGGCTTCATGTCACTCACAAGTTAGTTTGATGTTACATACATTACAGAAACCACATATTCCTGCCAGTTTTAATATGTATTTTGTAATCGACAAGTGTGTAACACCGGTCAAAGTTTCACACTTCTCTGGCCGTTATCTCCGTAACCGTTCAACTTTGGACATAGGTGTTTTGGGTTATATCGGCATACTTTAACATAAGGAACACCCTCCCGAAGTTTGGCACATTCCTCCTGGGACTTTCT